TTTAAACCAAATGCAGTCTGAAGCATGCTTAGGGAGAAAAGAATCAATTTTGTTTAAACTGAGGTGTGTGGATTCCCCTTCTTTGGGGCAGATTAGTGGGGCCCATTAGGGGAAATAGAGGAAAACATTAAAGATCCTTCTCCTTCTGTACCGTTGAAGGGATTTTAACCTAACCAAACTTGTTTTAGAGAATCTTTGGGCAAAGGGAATTGAATATTTATAAATGGAAGATGCAACTTTGTTACTTGTACTCCTTTGATAAACCTGAATGGTACTCAGCAGGTTTTAAATTGAAAAATAAAATACCAGGTGAGCTATTAAGGCCCCTGGGCCTCTTGTTTGTTCCCCTTCTGTGATTGCTAGATCTGTTTCTGTTCCCCTTCTGTGAGCCCTAGATCTGTTTCTGTTTCCCTTCTGTGAGTGCTAGATCTGTTTCTGTTCCCCAACAGTGAGTGCTAGATCAGTTTTTTGTTCCCCTTCTGTGAGTGCTAGATCTGTTTCTGTTCCCCTTCTGTGAGCCCTATATCTGTTTCTGTTTCCCTTCTGCGAGTGCTAGATCTGTTTCTGTTCCCCTTCTGTGAGCCCTAGATCTGTTTCTGTTCCCCATCAGTAAGCCCTAGATCTGTTTCTGTTCCCCTTCTGTGAGCACTAGATGTTTCTGTTCCCCTTCTGTGAGCCCTAGATCTGTTTCTGTTCCCTTTCTGTGAGCACTAGATGTTTCTGTTCCCCTTCTAGGAGCCCTAGATCTGTTTCTGTTCCCCTTCTGTGAGTGCTAGATCTGTTTCTGTTCCCCTTCTGTGAGTGCTAGATCTGTTTCTGTTCCCCTTCTGTGAGCCCTAGATCTGTTTCTGTTCCCCTTCTGTGAGTGCTAGATCTGTTTCTGTTCCCCTTCTGTGAGCCCAAGATATGTTTCTGTTCCCCTTCTGTGAGTGCTAGATCTGTTTCTGTTCCCCTTCTGTGAGCCCTAGATCTGTTTCTGTTCCCCTTCTGTGAGCTCTAGATCTGTTTCTGTTCCCCTTATATGAGCCCTAGATCTGTTTCCTTTATCTACCTCTGACTTAAAACATTGGCATTCAGTTTTCTGCATAATCAAAAAACAAAAGAAAATCAAGTCTCAATGAACAATTCCATTACAAAAGTGGAATATTTCTTTACTTGAACATTATAAAATTACAGCAAACTTAATATTGGAATGTAACACTGATATGCAGTAAACAAGTTTTTTGACAACGCAATTTACAAAAGGTAATGACAACGTCCAAAGCTGCATAGATAAGGTTTTAACAGTAAACAAACTTCTTGAACAACATTATTGAAGTGCAATTTTAACATCTCCTTAAGGAACATATTGTGATCAATATTACAGGATTCACAGGTATTGAGCAAAATCATTGATTCAAGTACAGTTTACCTTAATAAACTACAACGTGATTGAACGACAAGCTGTATCAACTTAAGGAGATATGCTATGCTACTGTGACATGCTCCTCTATTTCAACAAATTACAAGCTTCAGTATCTGTAAAGTTTCTTGTATTGATAATATTTCAGTCTTATTTAATTATGCGATAACAAATATTTGAAAGGCACACAAGAATGCATGAATTGATAAGTCTAAACAAAAACTTTATACGGGAGACAACTCTAACACAAATCTCGGGTAATATGTGTACAGTAGTATACATAAACCTTATATATATAGTGTGCAAGGTAGCATATATCCTTATTTCGCCTTGTACTATTAAAACACAACTTACAACAAGCTCAACACATCTATATCATCAAACCACATATCACAGAACCAAAAAACATACATAGTAACACAGAATCAATAGTTGATGTATATAAACTAGATATTGCTTCAGTGTGATTTAATTTAGATACTACATGTGTACTTCTAAGATATAACTAGTCAAGCCTATAGCATAGCCTGGTGTGAATGACCAAACATACAGGGCAAATACGCAACCAGCTTCCTTCACATTCTATCACTAAAGACTGACTAGGTATGGTTTGGGCCTTTTTTGGCCCCCAAATCCATCAAAATTAAAAATCTGCAATAGAACTTTCAAACGACTGTTTCTTTGATTTTGAATACTTCCCCTGTACTATTATGTAAACATTTATTTGTGTTTTCAATTTTGGCTGCCATGGTAACCAGGTCATATTTGCATAAATTATTGAAATTTGATTATTCAGTCAATTTTGACAGGTTTTTACCTAGTTTTTCTCTTAGCTACCATAGAGTGCACTCTTGAACAAACTTTATATTTCTCCTACAGATGTATTACAGGTGCCTACACATTATCCTTTGATATTAAGTTTGTTCAAGCATGCGCTCTAGTTTCTAGGAGAAAAACTACCGTAAGCAAAATATCACAATATTCACTGAACATATTCATTTTTTTCTAATTTATGCAAATTTGAACTTGTTACTATGGCAACAATAATTAGAAGTATAAATAAATATTTTCATAATAGTATTTGGTTAGTATTCGAAATTAAAGAAACAATCATTTCAAAGTTCATTTAAAGGTTTTGAATTTTGATGCATTTGGGGGCCAAAACAGGCCCAAACCATACAGTCCTTTCAAAATCTGAAACAGAACATGTGTTTAGTTCCAGGAGAATGTTACTACAGCATACAATACACAAATGTAAAAGGTAAAAACCATTATCAATGTTTTTGGTCTTGCTCATAAAAAATATTTTACAAAATATAAAAAAAAATCAAAAGAAAATATCAAAGCATGTCATCTTTATCATGCTTTTCAAAAAGTGTAAAGTTTTGATTCATGTTAATGGTAGGCTGATCAAAATGATCACCTGGAAAACGTGTTTATATTGACCGAGGTACAAATCACAACAATTTAGTTTAATTCAAGGTACAAGAACTTGTCGGAAGTTGGCTACAAAAATCTTGAACCTCACTTTGGTCAGTTACATCAACTTATGCTACTTTAGTTAGTACGGGAATCTGGAGTTCAATTCCTAGCTATATGGAGCTCAAATCATATTGCCTAGTTACAGAAACCTGGAGTCAACTGGATATTTGATCTATGGCTTGCTGGGGTAAAGGGCTTGACTTCTAAAGAATGTGGAGGTCTAGAGTCAAATATTACTTAAAGTGTCAAGAATAAAAATTGACCTGTGACCTTGAATAAGGGTCAAGGTCATTTGCTTGAACAAGCTTAAGAGCCCTCACCATAACAAGGTTTGGACAGACAAAGTCGACAGAAGCGTCACCATGATATAATTTTGCAGACATTTTGTGCCACATTATCTAAACAGGTAAATGTAGAATGTATCTTACTGTTTACTAGTATACCGAGGGTGATTTGATGATTGCAAAATAGAGTAAATAATGGGTGCTATACTGATAGTATTGATTACTGACCATGAAACAAAGACTTTTAAATGCCTTGAGTGTGACAGACAAAAACATGGAAACATCTCATCAGACTAGACAATACATAATATTACATGTACAATATCCCTGGGTACTAGTGTTAGATAAGGTCAACTGATTCACATGACACAAATAATTTTGATTATCTGATTCTCATTTCACATTTGACAAATTGGAAAAAATGTATATGTAGAAAGAACAATTACCTTAACATATACTTGATTGTTTTGAAGTTGTGTGATAGGGAAACAAGAGGCCCAGAGGGCTTGAATCTCTCACCTGGATATCTAAGCAATCATGGCAAAATATTCTCCAAATGAGATCCAAGGGAATATGCCAGATCCCAATGCCAATTCTTGTAGTATGTCTGTATTAGATTTTTCATGCCCAGCAATTTAATGTATGGTTATGGATGGGGATCTCAACTGTTTCCAAGCTGTGACTTAGTAACTAGATCCCTAGGGTTGTGGCCAGACCCCAGGATCAATTCTAATATCATGACTGCATTCGTCTCTTTTTGTCCAGCATTTGTATTTATAGTCTTGGAGTGGGGATCTCAACCGTTTCAAAGTTATGACCCAGGGGTTAAGACTGCAAGGGTGAGGCAGACCCCAAGGCCATCCTGGAATCATATGTGCATTCATCTCTTTATACTCAGCAATTGTATATATGCATGGTTATAGGGTGGGGATCTCAACTGTTTCCAAGCTGTGATTAAGAAACTATAGGTCCCTAGGGGTTCGGTCAGACCCCAGGGTCTATTCTAATACCATAACTACTTTTGTCTCTTTATGCCAAGCATTTGTATATATAGTTTTGGGGTGGGGATCTCAACCATTTCAAAGTTATGACCCTATGTCTCAAAAGGTGGGCCAGACCCACAGTTTATACAAAATTGGTTCCCCTTTACCCAAGGATGCTTCAGACCAAATATGGAACAAATCCTTTCATTCCTACAGAAGAAGAAGGATGAATTTGCTATGTTTCCCCTATTGGGCCCCGTCGCTCAGGCCCCTATGGGGCCAGGCCCACGGTTTATACAAAATTGGTTCCCCTTTACCCAAGGATGCTTCAGACCAAATATGGAACAAATCCTTTCATTCCTACAGAAGAAGAAGGATGAATTTGCTATGTTTCCCCTATTGGGCCCCGTCGCTCAGGCCCCTATGGGGCCAGGCCCACGGTTTATACAAAATTGGTTCCCCTTTACCCAAGGATGCTTCAGACCAAATATGGAACAAATCCTTCGATTCCTACAGAAGAAGAAGGACTTTAAAGAACTTGCTATGTTTCCCCTATTGGGCCCCGTCGCTCAGGCCCCTATGGGGCCAGACCCACGGTTTATACAAAATTGGTTGCCCTTCCCCCAAGGATACTTCAGACCAAATATGGAACAAATCCTTTCATTCCTGCAGAAGAAGAAGGATTTTAAAGAATTTGCTATATTTTCCCTATTGGGCCCTGCCCCTCAGCCCCCAGGGGGGCCGGGGGCCAGACCAACCATTTATACAAAATTTGTTCCCCTTCCCCTAAGGATGCTTCTGACCAAATTTGGTCAAAATCTTCTCAGTCGTTTATGACTATTAGCGATTTTTAGGAAAAGTTGACGGACGCCGGACCATGGCATAAGCTCACTTGCCCTTCCGGCAGGTGAGCTAAAAACTGCTTTACCAAACACCATTGGATTGGACCATAACAATTGTGCTCAAGGGTATTTACACACAGTGAATAATGGACAAATGAAGGCAGCATATAAATATATAAAAAGATATTTAAAAAGACACAAAAAAGACACAAAAATAGAAAATTTGATTTGGTCAACCCTTTGATTCCCATTACATACAATATAGCTGAACAAGACTGGCGGATAGATGACTATAATGTGCTTACCAGTTTCCAACATACCGGTCATACAACACCTGAGAGTTCTTATTTTACACAGACTTGGTCCATTTCACAAAACAATCATAAAAGTTGTGGTATATCTCTATTAAGTATTAGATAATTACTTTCTCTTTACAGGAGAAATATGTACAATAAATACAAATTACAGTTAGGATCCTATTACACAATAGCTAAATGACATTCAATGATCTGTAGAAAACAAAATGTGTGGCAAACAAGATTACCTACTAGCACTAGTTCTGATGTGTTGAGCATGAGATCATCCCAATATCTTACACAGATCACAGACAACATTTCAGAATGACTGTTCTGTTACACAGATTTAAAGCATATTAAAAACATCATTGTTATACATTTAAATAATATCATAATAAAGTTTTACCCATCCTTAGTCATGTTTAACATGAAGACTAAATATCAGTGAGTTATATTAATTGTATAGATTAACAACACACTAACTCTGCCCTTAAATATGACACTCACTGTATATTTATATATTTCTTTGATGTTGATATTTTTGCAGTTATGTGAAAATAAACAAATATCTACTGTTTATTCAAGTTTATAACTTTTTTTACGGGTCTGCAGTGTTCCTTAATTAGTAGTTAAGTTTAAAATCACGACCATGTTGAATTTGTAGATTATTCTTATTGTAAAAATTGCAAAAATACCACTGCCATTATCATAATACAGCACACATTATATCAAGGTGTATTTCTTGCTTGAGAGGTCTTTCAACTGACACGAACAGAAATATATTACACATATTTATAACTTAATCAAAATATGCCATTGGGCCATCACATTCTATTGTGAATCAAATTTCCAAAAAACTTAATAAAAAAAACCCATAGATGCACATGATTTATTTCCTTAACAATTTCTATATCTCACACTTTGCCTATTATGCTGAACACAAACACTTCATTTAAATAAATCTCAACATAAATCCTAAAATTTTGATACATCTTAGTGAGATTTTCAAAGAACTGTTTACAACAACTTCACTTATAGTTTTAATGTAATACTGGGCTTTGTGTATAAAATGGGACATGTAGATTAATCCCGCATAGCTAGTATTAGATAGAAAAAGTCCACGCTGTATACTTAACCCTACCCAGTATTAGATAGAAAAGTCCCAGCTGTATACTTAACCCTACCCAGTATTAGATAGAAAAGTCCCAGCTGTATAATTAACCCTACCCAGTATTAGATAGAAAAAGACTCAGCCGTATACTTAACCCTACCCAGTATTAGATAGAAAAGTCCCAGCTGTATAATTAACCCTACCCAGTATTAGATAGAAAAAGGCCCAGCTGTATACTTAACCCTACCCAGTATTCGATAGAAAAAGTCCCAGCTGTATACTTAACCCTACCCAGTATTAGATAGAAAAAGTCCCAGCTGTATACTTAATTCTACCCAGTATTAGATAGAAAAAGTCCCAGCTGTATACTTAACCCTACCCAGTATTAGATACAAAAAGTCCCAGCTGTATACTTAACCCTACCCAGCATTAGATAGAAAAAGTCCCAGCTGTATACGTAACCCTACCCAGTATTAGATAGAAAAAGACTCAGCCGTATACTTAACCCTACCCAGTATTAGATAGAAAAAGGCCCAGCTGTATACTTAACCCTACCCAGAATTAGATAGAAAAAGACTCAGCTGTATACTTAACCCTACCCAGTATTAGATAGAAAAAGTCCCAGCTGTATGCTCTTACCTAAAGAGCACTAATAGCAAACACCAGAATCCTTTGCTGTAACCTACCTTGTATTAGATAGCAGGAGCCCCAGCCCTATAGCAGCCACTGTACAAGACAACATTGCTACATGCTCTGGTATAACAAACCAGTGGTACCATGGAACTACGGGATGACCCTGACCTTGCTGATCATCCTCATCACTAGAAGAACTGCTGGGATCAACAAGTCCTGCTGGTAACTGGGGTAGTTCTGCAGTGATAAGCCTCTGATTCTCTGTGTAAGAATTGTTATTTACTGATGAGTCCAGTACAGGGTCTGCTAGGGGTTGGTCCACAGCTGAGATATCACCAGGGTCAGAGTTCATGTGCCCAATAGAATTGGGAACAGGTGATGCTACGGATAGATCTTCAAATGTGTGAAGTGGAGACACATCATCCAGTGAGTCGGAGGACAAATTGGAATCAGAGGAGCTCACTATTGCACCCTGTAATACAACACAGTAAATATAAGGAGTGGAGAAAGCTCACTACTGTACCCTGTAATACAACATTGTAAATTTATAAAGTGGACAGAACTTATAATGTACCCTGTTGTCATACAACACAATTAATTTGTTAAGTGGGCAAAGCTTACTACTGTACCTTGTAATACAACACAGTAAATATGCTATTTGGAGAAAGCTCACTCCTGCACCCTGTAATACAACACAGTAAATGTGTGAAGTAGAGAAAACTCACTACAGCACCCTGTAATACGTACAACACAGTAAAAAGGTTTATATAGCACAATCAGTTAAGTGTTTATGTGAGATGTTTCAATGACTATCACAGTATTTAATATTTCACCTTCATCAGATGAACAACCTGTAAATTGCATTTACACAAAAGTGTAAAATATTAACAAATTAAAATTGATATTGATTCAGCCACACTATGGGTCTAATGATTAATCCAACCAACAAATCAATTAGGCTAAGCTTTCTTTAATACCTGGTCATAGATGTGTGAGTGTCTATGAGCTCCCATGTATGAATACCTGGTCAAAGATGTGTGAGTGTCTATGAGCTCCCATGTATTAATACCTGGTCGTAGATGTGTGAGTGTCTATGAGCTCCCATGTATGAATACCTGGTTGTAGATGTGTGAGTGTCTATAAGCTCCCATGTATTAATACCTGGTTGTAGATGTGTGAGTGTCTATGAGCTCCCATGTATATATATAAGGATTTAGTGCTACATATATTCTTTCATGTGTACTGATAATATCTATAGATATGTTTACTACATACAGTCCCATCCTTTAACTTTTATTTTCATTTTCTCACACAAACATGTGTCTGCCTTACCCATCCACCATGCTTGATGATGAAGTCTGCAGCACGATCAGCTACTAGTCTGGCTGTATAATCCACAAGGTTCCCGATCCCCTGGTTTCCACTCTCCACTAGTCGCCATGCTGCCTTCTGGCTGTACACCATCAACAGGGCCACCTAGCACATGACAGGCACATACTTCAGATACGTGTATGAAAGGGCACATTTCCAAATGTCAAAATGTCTGTTTTCATAACTGTTTTAATCTTTGTGAATAAAATCTTACTACTGTACTTTTGGATATTTGGATGTGGTTTATTTGCATTGGCGCTTGGAGTGAATGTGTTCATATATATAACAATCCAAAATATCATGATGTCAAAAATATGGTGTCATAACAGACTTTGGCTGTCCGTCTTCCAACTCATTTGTTATGCACCCGGCAATTACTGATATCTGTGAGCTATATATGTAACATGGATTTTATTTGGCTATGATTAACACAAAACACATCAATAAAGGTATGTTTTCATCTTATTATGAAGGCGTCATCATTTTTTCATTGGTTTTCATATCTGTTGTTGTGTTAGTTGTGTTCAAGGGTATACAGGTAAGTCACATGGCGATCAATATCATACAGGTAAGTCACATGGCGATCAATATCATACAGGTGAGTATCACGGTAAGTATTCTTATAGGTGTTTAAACTATATTTTACTGCATACTTCCCACCTCTCACAATGGAAAACTGTGGGCAATAAATCACTTGCTGCCACAGTTCACTGCACACATAATCCTCTTTCATGGCCAATCATGATTACATGACCATGAAAGGGAGTGTGCCCAGTGGAATGTGGTCAAAATGCTGTAAGAAAGGGGAGATGATCAATAAGTAAGTAATGATAAAGTCAATACAGTGGAAAGAATAAACTTAGTTGACACATTTAAAATAAGACAAAAAAAATAAAAATAAAGTTAAAAATGGTAATTTCATGATTGAAAAACAAACAAACAAAATTACTGAGTTGGCAGCGTTATTGATTTCCTTATCACGTGAGAGGATAAGCATTTCCTGGAAAAGTTTATAATCTTTAGGAGCTGTTTCTTTATACAAGATTGCACATTCAAATATACCATTCATTGAAAGAGCTGGAATTCCTTAGGGATTGATAAACCCTTACATTATATGTATGAAAATGGTTTCAATAACCTGTACCTTTGCCACATCTCGAAAATTAAACTGAAAATGTAGTCAGAAATTCAACATTGCAGTGTCCGACACTCCTTACCTTCCCGGACACTGGAGCTGGATAGTAATCCAAAAGCACTTGTTTTCATTATGAAGGATAAACTCAGACTGGGCTATTGAGAATAAAGACAAACTTACCTTGTTCTGATTAGTAATCACTCACACAGGTACATGTAAATTATCTGCAGTGTAGGGTAGGTAAAACAATTGTCCATGTGAACATCTTTTACTCAATTTTTCTGTTTTGTTCGAGTTGGGAAGCATGCAGTAAGCCAGTTATTGCATGATTTCTCGTCACTCGGGACTTAATCCCTTGTTACTCGAAAACCATGCAATAACCTTTACGTATTTTGTTCTTCTGCGCAGCCAGGTGAGATGAAATACAAAAGGCTGTATATTCATGGGATCTGAAAACAACTCGTACCATAATTACAGGTTTTCAATAAAATACTTAAGCTGCACAACTACCATATAACAATGGATTGATGGAGCATCTCAATGACTATCAGCATTAAAAAACACCAAAATTTGGCATACTGGATCGTAAAACGCCAAATTTTGATGCACAAAAATTTAAAGCACAAAAAATTAACAAGAGGCCCAATGGGCCTGCATCGCTCACCTGTTATTAATCTAACACTTGTAATCTTAAGATTTCATAAGAACCTATTAAAAGATTTAAACATATGACGCCTCTGACCTTGATTGTCGAACAAGGACATTAGGTTGAAAGTGGATCAAGGTCATTCATTTGAACTAACATGGTAGTCCTTCATCCCAGCATGCTACAGGCCCAATTTCAGTACCCTGGCCCTTTTGCTTATTGAAAAGAAGTCGCTTGAAGATTTTACGACATTTGACCCCTGTGACCTTGAAAGTTGGTCAAGGTCATTCAGTTAAACAAACTTGACAGTCCTTCATCCCAGCATGCTACAGGCCCAATATCAGTACCCTGGGCCTTTTGGTTTTTGAGGAGAAGTTGTTTGAAGATATAACCCCTGTGACCTTTAACGTTGGTCAAGGTCATTTATTTGAACAAACTTGGTAGCCCTTCATTCCAGCATGCTACAGGCCCAATATCAGTACACTGGGCCTTTTGGTTATTGAGAAGAAGTTGTTTGAAGATTTAAGAAATCTGACCCCAGTGACCTTGAAAGTGGGTCAAGGTCATTCATTTGAACAAACTTGGTAGCCCTTCATCCCAGCATGCTACAGGCCCAATATCAGTACCCTGGGCCATTTGGTTATTGAGAAGAAGTTGTTTGAAGATTTTAAAGACATCTGACCCCAGTGACCTTGAAAGTGGGTCAAGGTCATTCATTTGAACAAACTTGGTAGCCCTTCATCCCAGCATGCTACAGGCCCAATATCAGTACCCTGGGCCATTTGGTTATTGAGAAGAAGTTGTTTGAAGATTTTAAAGACATCTGACCCCAGTGACCTTGAAAGTGGGTCAAGGTCATTCATTTGAACAAACTTGGTAGCCCTTCATCCCAGCATGCTACAGGCCCAATATCAGTACCCTGGGCCATTTGGTTATTGAGAAGAAGTTGTTTGAAGATTTTAAAGACATCTGACCCCAGTGACCTTGAAAGTGGGTCAAGGTCATTCATTTGAACAAACTTGGTAGCCCTTCATCCCAGCATGCTACAGGCCCAATATCAGTACCCTGGGCCATTTGGTTATTGAGAAGAAGTTGTTTGAAGATTTTAAAGACATCTGACCCCAGTGACCTTGAAAGTGGGTCAAGGTCATTCATTTGAACAAACTTGGTAGCCCTTCATCCCAGCATGCTACAGGCCCAATATCAGTACCCTGGGCCATTTGGTTATTGAGAAGAAGTTGTTTGAAGATTTTAAAGACATCTGACCCCAGTGACCTTGAAAGTGGGTCAAGGTCATTCATTTGAACAAACTTGGTAGCCCTTCATCCCAGCATGCTACAGGCCCAATATCAGTACCCTGGGCCATTTGGTTATTGAGAAGAAGTTGTTTGAAGATTTTAAAGACATCTGACCCCAGTGACCTTGAAAGTGGGTCAAGGTCATTCATTTGAACAAACTTGGTAGCCCTTCATCCCAGCATGCTACAGGCCCAATATCAGTACCCTGGGCCATTTGGTTATTGAGAAGAAGTTGTTTGAAGATTTTAAAGACATCTGACCCCAGTGACCTTGAAAGTGGGTCAAGGTCATTCATTTGAACAAACTTGGTAGCCCTTCATCCCAGCATGCTACAGGCCCAATATCAGTACCCTGGGCCTTTTGGTTATTGAGAAGAAGTTGTTTGAAGATTTTAACATATTTCAACCCCTGTGACCTTGAACGTTGGTCAAGGTCATTTATTTGAACAAACTTGGTAGCCCTTCATCCCAGCATGCTACAGGCCCAATATCAGTACCCTGGGCCTTTTGGTTATTGAGAAGAAGTTGTTTGAAGATTTAAACATGTTTGACCCCTGTGACCTTGAAAGCAGGTCAAGGTCATTTATTTGAACAAACTTGGTAGCCCTTGATCCCAGCATGCTACTGGCCAAATATCATCTTCCTAGGCCTTATGGTTACTGAAAAGAAGTTGTTTAAAGAAAAAAGTTGACGCCGGACAGACGGACGACGGACGGACGGACGGACCCCGCACCATAACATAAGCTCACTTGCCCTTCGGGCAGGTGAGCTAAAAACCCATTTTGAGCAAATATAAAGTATGGTGTTATATATTCAAGTGTTACAGCCACTTTTCAGGCCATGAAGCCCTCATGAAATATACCCATATGAGCAACTCTTGCAATCTGAGACATCAGATGAACACATGTGTTATTACCTATATATTTTTTAATAAGACATTAACCTGTTTCATTTCTGGAAGGTCACGGTCAAGGACATCTTTAGCAACATCACAAAAGGTGTCATAGGTGAGGTTTTGACTGTACTGCATTAGAGCAGCCACAGATTTGTCCAACTGCTCTTCATACTGGTCCATCACCTCATCACCAATCCGGGCAAGGACCTTCGCCGCCTGGGTCTGGGGTGTCATGGGCGTCATAAAAGGGGAATGGTTTGAAGGAATCACATGTCTTTTGATAGCTAAAACAAACATTGGATAGCTTGAAATTGTTAAAAAATATCTCACATGAGTAGTCAAATAATGACGTACCTGGTAAGCTCCATGAAAGATCCTAAAGCTATTATGATGACTATTTGCTCTATTTACTTATTCATATGGTTCCGTATATTTCAAAGAATTCTATCACTATTAATATTGTTGGTCGAAAGTCAACGTTGTTACATGCACAATAAATTACCTTTCAGTACATATGATGACTTCAGATCACATAGTAGCGAGATTTCTCTCCTACTGGTCATGGTAGGGTGATGGAGTTTTTGTTAGGGAGAATCAGAATAATACATTAACTTTACATTGAACAATATTCATAGCTAGAGACTTGTTCATGTTACTTGTCATTACCATTGAGTCAATGCTTTCTAAACACTTACTGGTGTTTACAGGCACATTTTCAACAAGTTATGACATCACAACAAATTGTAGGGAGATTCTGATTTTTTAGAGGTAGTGGTAAAATATAGGGAGACTCACTATACAAAAGGGTGACATTACATGCATGTTCAATCTATTTTTCTTATGTCTCTCACATCATACCCAAGAAATGATAATTCCATCAGTATTAATATGAAGAATAGTCCTTACCCTCTTCTACTTCTGATTCCAGTGATGTCATTTCGTCCTCAATCTCAGACCTCAGGGATCGTGCCACAGCCTCATAGCGGGCAGCCTTAGAGTTAGCCCAGGACTGTGATTCATCGATGTTCAATCTTAGCTTAGAGCGGTCGAGTGTTTTTATCCCACTGGTGTTGCTACTGCTGGCCTCAAGAGAAATACTGGTGGAAACTGCTGGATCATTTTCATATGTGCTGTCTAAATCCCCATAATCAATTTCTAAGTCGATGTCACTAAGATTACACGCTGACCTGGTCCTAACATCTAACAGAGAATTATCAATAGACTGCACCCCTGTCTCAAACACATTGTTTGTGCCATCTATAGTAGAGTATATTGTGGTAGAGTCAATGACAGTTTCATTTTCCATTTCCGATTCGCTCTGCACTGTGGGTAGTCTAGATACCACCTGGTGCAGGTCTACACTCCCCCGCAGACCACTCAGTCCCCCTGTACTCCCCCACAGACTTGACCCACCCGAGGTGTCCTCACCCTCGTCATCTGCATCACTAGTGTAACTGTAGTCCCCACTCACCTCACTCCCCATTTTGGACATGGTGTATTGTCTGTACTGAGCTGGGGACATCAAGCTTCGACTTAGCGGTGTCTCCCTATCTAAACCATTACCAGACTCATGGTTTAAGCCAGCATCTATGCCAGAACTACCTTGGAAAGATTTGTCTTCATGATTCACATCATTTGCAGAGGCTGACATTTGTTGATGGTGCTTGGCATGCCTTTTCATTGAGAATGAAGAAGATTCCAGACTAGGGTCCTCCTCAAAAGAGGCATGTGATTTATTGTGTTTGTGACTGATGTTGTCCTCAGAAACTCTCTGTCTCATCTGGTAATCACTCCCATTACCAGTGGCAGCCAAATCAGTGTGGAATGTTCTGTGTCGTTGATGTTTGTAGTGAATGTTGTCCTCTGACACTCTCTGATATGCCCCTCTAAAATCAGTAAGCCTGGGCTTGTGTCTTTTTGGTGGAGATGGTGGCATAGATTTTGATGCACTTTTTCTGCCATGGAGATGATGATCTGAATCTGAAGTACTTGTAAGTGGAGTACCACCATTGGCACTCCTTGGACTTATAGATCTGTGAGGGTTGCGACTAATGAAGTTTAGGACTATAAATTTGGTCTCATAGTTGAAACTGTCCGGAGTCCCTGCAGAGCTATCTGGTGACCCGAAGTGACCAGAGGGAGCTGGTACCTGTTCTACCTGAGACATCATTCTTCAGGTTGAGGACTTCTGAAGAAAATGAACATTATTGATTTAGACATACGGCTAATTTCACAGCAATGAACCATCTTGATATTTGTTATTGGCTCTGACAGGAAGAATTTTCTTTCAGTTCGATCAGTAGACTACTTGACTGTCATAAGTAATCTGCAGTCCCAGGAATTACATTGGTTATATTCTTTTTTTTTTTATAAATTTTATTTTATAAATAACTGTGGCAGAACTGGACTAGGCAAATTGTTGGCAATCAGGTAGCTCAATTGGTAGAGCCTCGGTTTAGAGTACCGTTGGTAGAGCGTCGGTTTAGAGTACCGTTGGTAGAGCGTCGGTTTAGAGTACCGTTGGGAGAGCACTTGGTTTGAATCCCAATCTGGCCGTGCATTGCTCTTTCTCCTGTTACATAACCTGCATACACAGTCAGTGTGATTACATCAATGTCCATCACATTATCATTGTGAGGTTTTATCTCAAGATTGATAACTTCAAAAGTTGCACTGTCCTTACCATCATTTAAAAAGAAATGAAACTGAAATCCAAAGGTATTGAAGTTGTAATGGTAAATAAGAAATTCCAAATTATTCTTAATTGCCATGAAATTTTCATTCCTTTTTTTTTTTAATGTCTCATCAGTGACTCACTTTTCCAGTAATTTAATCATCTTGGCATTATAATTTATTATCATAAAAACATTCTCAGTATCAGATGATTGTATTTTTTGTTTTTAGGAATATATGAAGAATAGTTTCAACCCCGATTCAGAAATACATACGATAGCACGCTAAGTACATGTGCTTACATAACTCATGTCAAACTAGGACTTAGAATAAGGATAGGAGTGCATGGCAGGACGACGCACAGGTCAGGTGATTATACCAATGACCAGGTAGCTCACTTCATTTGGTGTAATAAGAGGCATAGGCCATTCGTCTAGAATTTGAAGGCCGCTGGTTCAAATAACACTTTGGCCCTGTTACAATTTCCCTGTTCATCTAATGTACTGTAGTATAAATATTTTGCTAACTCAGACTTGCACGTCTCAGCTCCATAAATCCGATATTTTTTATTTATATACAGACCCCGAGATCTATTTCTATATAATTTAGATATCCTTATAGTCTTTCTAAATATCTAATATTCTATAAGCTGATTTGGGTTTGTATTTTGTAAAAATAATGAAAAAGGGAACAGATGTCTATATATATATATATTTACATTTGTACAAGCACGGACTTGGATGATATGTAAATATTCCCTCTTTTCACGAGATTTAATTTGTGGGGATCAGAAGGGGCAATATTTCAACTTACATTTAAAGAACATGATGTTCAATGAAAATGATCCTGCTTAATTCCATGTTGTTCTTTTGATTATAATTATGAAAAGTCAAAATATTTCCTCAAAATTTAGATTTTGCCAAAATAATAATATATAGAGTTATCTCCCCTCAGTTGTGACAGTAATGTACATTTGTATTCACAAAAAAATGCAGTATAAAACACTGTATATGGCAGGACAATTAAGGCATACTATTCAAATTGCTCTAATGCACCTAAAAGTTTTAAAAACTCAATGTTTAAATCACAAACCAATGTCAATTTGAAACCATTTCCACGTTCAGCATTCATTGTCATTATATTTCTAACCCCCTTTTCAAAATGTTGAGTATTGTCATGCTACGCGTAAAATCAAAATTAATATTTTTTCTTTATACAGAAGTAGTCATTGACTAACAAACATAATAACGATGACTAGATCTGCAGACATACTTCTGTTTACAGTCGTTTTTCCATCTTCCAGACGAGCACTTCCTATGTGTACTACGTCATCAGTTTCTGTACGTCACGTTGCAAGTCGGAAGTCACATCGGTAAAAGAGCCGAACGAAGTCAGCTGCAGCTTATCTATAAAGTTTACTTAAATTCGAGCCTTCAAAATGGCACTCAGCGATGCAGACGTTCAGAAACAGGTAATCTATATATATTGTTGTTTTGAAGAGATCTTGAAATGGCATAAATGTGTTGTATGCGTCTTTAGCAACACAGGAATTTGTCATCGCTTATCTCGTGACATTGACAGCCTGCTGCCCATCCAATATTATAGGCCACTATAGTACACGACCTGCTTGCTTTAACCTTGCACAACGTATGGATTATACATTTTCCAGTTGTCCCTAATGAAATAAAACTTGAAAATGTTCGCAAATGTTATCGATCAATTTCTTATTAATAAATTAAATGTAGGCATATTTTCCAGCTCAACCATGGCATTGGACTTGTCTGCTTGTTGCTGAATTTTCATAATGTCAATTTGACTCTGGCCTGTCCTTGGGATAAATGGATTCTGTAAGAAAGGATAACATCCTTCTTGGATTCAACTGAACTCTTTTCACTCAACCACAGTGATTAAATTGAAGTTTGAATGGACCTATTGTCCTTTCAGATGTTTTTTCACCATGATTTTTATTAAAAAGGACCTTCATTTTAGGCAGCAAAATCCACCAATGCCTTAAGTATTTACATTACCACAGAAACCAACCTAAAACACAGCAAAAAAACATTCCGTGCACACAACATTATTGAGTCTGGAAAATGTGCAGTGAGGATAGATGCTGAATAGACTGCATGAATGAATATGAATATAGAGATCTGAATGTTTTCCCATTATATAATTTTCTGTTCAGATTAATTAATCATGCATATGATTCATTTCTTTAATTTGTAAAACTAACTTTTAAGGCAACAAAGTGGATTTTGAATATTATAACTTTGATTTTAATATAATGGTATACGTACCACAATGTTATGTTAAATTATATTGATAGTGCTCATATGTTGATCGATGCCAACTCTATATGTTTAATTTTTATCAAAGAGAAGAAAACTATAATGATTGTCACAAATACTATACATCTGTGTTAAGATCATCAAACTACTTAGTAATTTTGTGGAAGTTCTTCTGTTTATACTTTCAATCTCTTTTTATGAAAAAAATAAAAATAATCGATGAAAGAAAATGATGAATTTCATTTCACTTTACAGATCAAGCATATGATGGCCTTCATTGAACAAGAGGCTAATGAAAAGGCAGAGGAAATAGATGCAAAGGTAAACCGATATTGCGATAAGGGTATATTTAACCGAAGCTACTAACTGATACGTTTATGGAAAAAATATTAATAAATATAGTGGAGATAGTAGAGTATATATGTAAGTTAAGATTTAAAGAACAGAAATAGTGGAAATGTTTCTGGTTACGCAAAAAAATAATATCATGGTGTCCATATTGTAATGTATGTCAGTGTGATAGCAGGAAACAGTAGAAGATTTTTGAAGGACTTTTAAAGTGGAATCTTAATAATAATATAATAGACCACAATATGTTTTGTTCCATAACAATAGGCTGAGGAGGAATTCAACATAGAGAAGGGTCGTTTGGTCCAGCAACAGCGAGTCAAGATCATGGAATACTATGAAAAGAAGGAGAAACAGGTGGAGCTCCAGAAAAAAATGTAAGAGGTTATATGTATGAGGCATTAGTGTACCAGGAATATCAGAAAAACAACAAGAATATATCATTCTTACACAACTGGTCATGTAAGATAGATCTGGATTTTTCCCATGATGGGAAAGAAACCATATAATAAAAATCTTTCTTATATGGGCATGATTTCACAATGTAAAACAATGAGGCGACAATGTGTTGCAACAAGTTTTGTGTCATTTAAATAAATTGTGCTGATTTCATTTGCACGTTTAACTCTTTCACCCCTATGTAACTTTAGTATACTCTACCATGCATTGATCTGGATGATTCCATTGTGGTCTACAGTGGTGAAAGGGTTAAGTCTTTCATGTACATTTATATCTGTATTATTAGTAATTTAAAGTTTAAACTTATAACGTATAAACTAAAATTTAGCAATGGTATGAATATTTTAAATTTGGTTCATTCTTCAAGAAGTTGGTCATTTGCTACATGTATAACTAAGTGATGTAAAAAATAACCATAAGTTGTAATTTATGTAGGATAGAAAAACGTCACCCTCAGGTACACAGTGGCAGCATTAATTTCTGCCCAAAATTGTGTACCTTTCGGATGGATAATATTTATTAGAAAAAATAAACTTCTGATCAAATAATAAAAAAAATCTTGACTCTAAATGTGGTATCAGTTTTTTTTCTTATCATACACAATGGTGTGTATATATTGTATGAAAATTTAGATCTCTTAGAAGGAAAGAAATTCATTAATTACTGAATAAAAAACAAGCATCTTATTGTGAACTTTCTAGATCGAACAAAGATCAGTATATTGTATTATAATTTGTCTGTTTTATAGTCAGAACTCTAACCTCCTGAACCAGGCCAGGCTGAAGGTGCTAAAGAGCAGAGAGACTCACTTGAAGGTAGGCTATAATGTTTGTTGTTTAGTTGACTCATTGAAGATGAGTATGGTATACACATAAAAGTTGGTTGTTTGACTCGCTGAATGTGGTGTATGTATAGTTGTCAGCAGTAATGTTAGTCTGACTCACTGAGTGTGGTGTATGTAGTTTGTCAGACTCACTTAGTGTGGTGTATGTAGTTTGTCATACTCACTGAATGTGGTGTATGTAGTTTGTCAGCTGTAATGTTAGTCTGACTCACTGAGTGTGGTGTATGTAGTTTGTCAAGACTCACTGAGTGTGGTGTATGTAGTTTGTCAAGACTCACTGAATGTGGTGTATGTAGTTTGTCAGCTGTAATGTTAGTCTGACTCACTGAGTGTGGTGTATGTAGTTTGTCAAGACTCACTGAATGTGGTGTATGTAGTTTGTCAGACTCACTGAATGTAGTGTATGTAGTTTGTCAGCTGTAATGTTATTAGTTACACAGATTTTTGGCAGGGTCATACCATCCCGTATACCCTGCCAAAAATCTGTGTAAAAAAATTATTACCCCTTCCTCGAACTGTTCTTCCTGATTCTTTTCTTTTAAATACGTCCTCAGCATGTTTGCCGCTCGTCTGTTGGACTTTTGTGTATTTGTGGTACATAGTTGGCCCTTTTGGCGAGTATTTCCTCATCAGTATGCGAAGCGAAACTTTTTGCCATTTGCCTGAGATTTACGAATGCGGTTTGGTACACTGTAGTTTTTAACCAATCATTTCTCAAAGGGGTAATAATAGTTGTTAGAGTTGTTAGTTGTCGATTTTAAGTGTGTAATATGGCAGATCAGGCCCTGTATATTTTCATCACTGACATGCCCTGTACATGTATATATGTATTACTGACAGGCCCAGCATATTTGTATCACTGACAGGCCCTGTACATGTATATTTGTATCACTGACAGGCTTTGTACATGTATATATGTATCATTGACAGGCTCCGATATTTGTATCACTGACAGGCCCTGTAAATGTAGATTTGTGTCACTGATATGCCCTGTACATGTATATTTGTATCACTGACAGGATTTGTACATGTATATATGTATCATTGACAGGCTCTGTATATTTGTATCACTCACATGCCCTGTAAATGTAGATTTGTATCACTGACAGGCCCTGTACATGTATATTTGTATCACTGACAGGCCCTGTACATGTGTAACAGGAGCGAGACGGGCCCAGTTTATTATGAACAAACTACCCCCGGCTCGCTACCTTTCCTCACAACCCAGGTTCGAATTGGGTAGCTTGTTTCTGTTGGTGAAGGTAATAACTCAACTCTTTTTGTGATACAATAACAGTATTTATTAACGGAGATACATGAAGCAATGAAACATGAACAATACAGGCCTAGATGAGAACACGTAAAACCCCAAACAAGTTGCCGAGACGACCCCCCAACCCTACATAGTACTAGGCTACTAGGCTAACATCCACCCGACATTCCCAACCTTATCTATCTATACACGAACTATCTTTAATCTGCTATTCTAACATTACCGTACCTACTATCCCCTACAGAAGTCTATGGCAGTCGTAGCAGGAAACCAATCCTTCACTCTGCGCTAAAACCGAAAGTAACACCCCACTATATAGCAACATTCACAATACAAAACTCTCGACCAATGAAAACATAGTGCTGTCGCAGACACAGGCACAGACAGAAAAGCATGAAATCACAGACAGGTAAACTGACAACACTTAGCACTGGACTGGTACACGTGGACAGGACACCACAACAGACAGAGGTCGGGTGACTCCAGTGCACCTTGGCCTCCATGTAGTACAGTAACTACACTACATGACCCCTGTCTGACACATAGAACACATATAGACTATTACAACAAGAATCCCCCCGCTACAGATGTATATTTGTATCACTGACAGGCCCTGTACATGTATATTTGTATCACTGACAGGCCCTGTACATGTATATTTGTATTACTGACAGGCTTTGTACATGTATATTTGTATCACTGACAGGCCCTGTAAATGTATATTTGTATCACTGACAGGCCCTGTACATGTATATTTGTATCACTGACAGGCCCTGTACATGTATATTTGTATCACTGACAGGCTCTGTACATGTATATTTGTATTACTGATAGGCTCTGCTTCAAGATGCCCAGGCATTGCTGACAGATATCACCAAGGACCGCCCTAGGTACAAGGCGGCACTTGTAGGACTGATCGCCCAGGGACTTTACCAGCTCTTGGAGCCCACAGTTGTCCTCCGGTGTAAACAGGAGGATGTCGATCTTGTACAGGTAAGTAGATCTAATTTTGAAGTATTAACAGGATGTCTCTCAGTTAGTTAAATTGTGCTAATCCTTGTGGGTGAATAGGAGGATGTTGTAAATTGTGCTAATCCTCGTGGGTGAATAGGAGGATGTTGTAAACTGTGCTAGTCCTTATGGGTGAACAGGAGGATGTTGTAAACTGTGCTAATCCTCGTGAGTGAACAGGAGGATGTTGTAAACTGTGCTAATCCTTATGGGTGAACAGGAGGATGTTGTAAACTGTGCTAATCCTCGTGAGTGAACAGGAGGATGTTGTAAATTGTGCTAATCCTTATGGGTGAACAGGATGTCTCTCAGTTACAGGTAGATCAGTTTAATTCTCTTGTGTAAACAGGAGGATGTCAATTTTGTACAAGTTAATATTTCCAATCTTCATGGGTGAACAGGTGGATGTCAAACTCACAAAGGCAGGACATCTTTAATGTACCACAAACTAGTGTTAGGAATCCATTGTCATTTTATTTTGATGATTCCCAACAAATATTCAGTTAGCAAGTTAACTCAAATTATATGCAGTGTGAAGTCAAGGGTATATTTAATTGATACTTTAACCTTTAACTTAGCAGAAATTCATTAAGAGTAGTTCTGCCTCATAACAATTGCTTAAGTACCATTTATAGGTGGATGATCAATAGAAATTTATAGAAAAAACATGCAATAATTTCAACTGATTAATTATGGAATTTTATAATCAAATAATTGTGATTGGTTGTGTAATGGAACAGTTTCAGTTATAATTGATCAGGGCAACATAGCAAACTATAATCAGCTAAACCTTAGAGTATACCTTTAAGTGTAAATATAATGTCATGTGATACTTATGTCATTATTTTCCCTCCAGGAGTGTGTGCCGCTCGCTGTGCAGATGTACACTGACGAAATCCACAAAACTGTCAAAGTCACCATCGACAAGGACAACTTCCTGGGATCTGATGTGTAAGTAAAACATTCTGCAATATTACTGATAAGGTAAATTCATATCTAAAAAAGTTGGCAGACTGGCCTTTCTGTATATTAAATAAAGAAAATGCTCCAGATGACCACACATCACTCCAAAGGTGAATATTTAAGCAATCGAGTGCTGAGATGTGCCAGACCTAGTGGTATAATTACCACGATTCAGACCATTGGAATGGTGTGTAAAGCACACTATAATCTTTGATTATGTGTTGCAGGTAAACCACTAGTTCCGGTGTTTCTTCTAAAATTTAGATTTCCACCAAATAAGTGTCCGGTGACTACCTTGGAAGGCACACAAGGGACAGCTGTCATCATACACTATTTACAATATTTGTTTTTGAATATGCTAATACATAATCAGTTTAAGATTGGACCATTTTAAAGACTTTTATTATGGTCTGTATTGGGTGCATTGATTTGTTTACATTTTGTGAATCCTGATATTCATTCACTTAGCAAAGAGCAACTTCACTTATAGCTATGTAAGATGAAGCTTCTGCTGTTCTTGGTAGGCCAGTGACATGGGCTTTGCTCAAAGTCATTTATTATTACATTTATGTTACAGATGTGGAGGTGTAGAGATGGTTGCTCATGGCAATAAAATCAAAGTAGAGAACATGATTGAGAATCGACTGAACCTGATATTTGACCAGGTAAGATCAACAGTATTGCATTAGTTTGTTTATAGCAGTATTGTGCTGCAGACACAACTCAGCAGGTTGTCACACCTACTGATAATGGTCAGCAACAGTTCTGGATCAAACTTTCCAATAGTAACAATCCGAGATTGTTAATAGGGATGGCTCTAGAGAGGATAGGAAATCTCAGCACTGACTCTGGTTAAAGAGAGGTCACTTCTTCCCCTTTAATTGGTTATAAGTAATAGATAATAGCTATGTTCTAAAGACAAATTGATTTTAACCAATATTGTTGGATGGCTGTATAAAAGCAGTACATGTACATTCTGAAAAGAGAAGCCCCTTTCGCGTATCCGGTTCAACTGGTCGATCTGTTTTTAAATGTAATGTTTTCGATTATAAATCCTGGCAGACCTGCAAATGTTTGCAGGCCTTTCAAGGCTTTGTCAAGACTCGCCTGAAAGCAGCATAAAATTACTAGGTCTGACCTTATTTCATACACAAACAACTCTGGTCTAACTGCCTCAACTGATTGGACAGCGATAAACGAATATGGCCAAAGTGAATATTAGATGAGATTTTGAACACTGAATGCTGAGTGGAGATAGGAGGAGGAATTCTAGAGCTTGACATGTTGTATGGCTTGGTCTCTGTCTCACCAACACTTTAAGTCTGTCTCAAGCCAAGGTTGGCCTCTGTCACACCAACACTTTAAGTCTGTCTCAAGCCAAGGTTGGTCTCTGTCTCGCCAACACTTTAAGTCTGTCTCACCAACACTTTAAGTCTGTCTCAAGCCAAGGTTGGTCTCTGTCTCACCAACACTTTAAGTCTGTCTCAAGCCAAGGTTGGCCTCTGTCTCACCAACACTTTAAGTCTGTCTCAAGCCAAGGTTGGTCTCTGTCTCACCAACACTTTAAGTCTGTCTCAAGCCAAGGTTGGTCTCTGTCTCACCAACACTTTAAGTCTGTCTCAAGCCAAGGTTGGTCTCTGTCTCACCAACACTTTAAGTCTGTCTCAAGCCAAGGTTGGCCTCTGTCTCACCAACACTTTAAGTCTGTCTCACCAACACTTTCAGTCTGTCTCAAGCCAAGGTTGGCCTCTGTCTCACCAACACTTTAAGTCTGGCTCAAGCCAAAGTTGGTCTCTGTCTCACCAACACTTTAAGTCTGTCTCAAGCCAAGGGTGGTCTCTGTCTCACCAACCCTTTCAGTCTGTCTCAAGCCAAGGGTGGTCTCTGTCTCACCAACCCTTTAAGTCTGTATCAAGCCAAGGTTGGTCTGTGTCTCACCAACACTTCCAGTCTGTCTCAAGCCAAGGGTGGTCTCTGTCTCACCACCACGTTAAGCCTGTCTCAAGCCAAGGTTGGGCTCTGTCTCACCAACCCTTTAAGTCTGTATCAAGCCAAGGTTGGTGTCTGTCTCAGCAACACTTTAAGTCTCTCCCAAGCCAAGGTTGGCCGCTGTCTCACCAACACTTCCAGTCTGTCTCAAGCCAAGGTTGGTCTCTGTCTCACCAACACTTTAAGCCTGTCTCAAGTCAAGGTTGAACCCAAGTTTTTACTGTGATGTTAAAATTAACTTCAGACTCTGAGATGAACTCCGAGTGTTTGTGATAGGTGTTCCCCTATGTTATTAATGTTGATTTAGGTATTCCCCTATGTTATAAATGATGATTCAGGTGTTCCCCTATGTAATAAATGATGATTCATGTGTTCCCCCTATGTTATAAATGTTGATTTAGGTATTCCCCTATGTTATAAATGTTGATTTAGGTATTCCCCTATGTTATAAATGATGATCCAGGTATTTCCCTATGTTATTAATGTTGATTTAGGTATTTCCCTATGTTATAAATGTTTATTCAGGTATTCCCCTATGTTATAAATGATGATTCAGGTGTTCCCCTATGTAATAAATGATGATTCATGTGTTCCCCCTATGTTATAAATGTTGATTTAGGTATTCCCCTATGTTATAAATGTTGATTTAGGTATTCCCCTATGTTATAAATGATGATCCAGGTATTACCCTATGTTATAAATGATGATCCAGGTGTTCCCCTATGTAATAAATGATGCTGTTGTCTACTTACAGATGGTACCCCACCTGAGGACTGTGCTATTCGGGAGGAACCCTAACCGCAGATTTACTGACTAAGATTTCTGTCACTACTACAGTGATCATTCCACATGTGATATTGTCATACCTTAGGTTACAAACATAGCTATTCGGACAAACCATTAGGACATTTGTTGACATTGAATTAAGTTTTGTATTATTAAGTTGAATTTTGCTTCATTGTGTATCAAGATAACTTTAGCTTATGTTGTCATCTAGAGAACAAGGAGACAAGAAATATCTTGGTATAACCAGTTTACCATGATATTCCAAAGTAACACAAATCCTGCTAATTTGGGTGTTGTTTCTCCAAATGATGCATCAAAAAATATCTTATTAGACACTCTCAATATTCCAGAACAGTTACATATATATGTAGAATGTAAGTATGAAAACATGTGGAGCAGTCCTATACCTGGAACTAGTCACACCGTTATAAACTAGGTGGACACAGTATAAATGGTAGGTCATAGTTTATCGTTAGAAATCTGTTATGTTGTATTGTATGTAAAGTAGGTTGTTAGCTCCACCTCCAAGTATCTGGACATCTTCTGAATCAATAAGAAATTTTCTTGTAACATCTAATCCATACTTTATTGCACGAGTGCAGTGCTTACTTTTCCCCCCATCAGATGTACATTGTAAAGGAAAATTAGTTAAGCATCAGATGTACATTGTAAAGGAAAATTAGTTAAGCATCAGATGTACATTGTAAAGGAAAATTAGTTAAGCATCAGATGTACATTGTAAAGGAAAATTAGTTAAGCATCAGATGTACATTGTATAGGAAAATTAGTTAAGCATCAGATGTACATTGTAAAGGAAAATTAGTTAAGCATCAGATGTACATTGTAAAGGAAAATTAGTTAAGCATCAGATGTACATTGTATAGGAAAATTAGTTAAGCATCAGATGTACATTGTAAAGGAAAATTAGTTAAGCATCAGATGTACATTGTAAAGGAAAATTAGTTAAGCATCAGATGTACATTGTATAGGAAAATTAGTTAAGCATCAGATGTACATTGTATAGGTAAATCAGTTAAGCATCAGGTGTACATTGTATAGGTAAATCAGTTAAGCTTTTTAAATACTTCACTTTGCAATTTAATATGAAACGTTTTATTGGCTAATGATTCTGCTGTTGAAATAACAGAAAATTAATGTTGTAAAAACAAGCGGTTACAAGGAACATTTTGTCTTCGATTTACTGATGGAAAGTCAAGGTTTGAAATTTTAACATGTATCTGGTAGTTTGTTCAGAAATTTATAAAAGTAGACAAATATATAAGCTGTATGTTGTGAGTTGTTCACACTGGTGTCGGGTGTAAGGAGGTTGAGAGAGTAAGCAATGAACATTTATGTCTGTATACTTCAGAAATCCATCTTGCCCACTAGTTCATAAATGTGTCGACCACATTTAAATCCACAGTAGATGTACAACATCAATGGAGGATTAACTAAGTGTTAGACATTGCCTGGTCTCTTGTTGTTATAATGTTACACAAGATCATGATGTAATAATTGACTGTTTGTTTTACCGCACATCTGTGATGTTAGCAGGACTGTAGAGTGCTGAAGTGTGTCCTGTGACAGTATGTGAGCGGAGCTTAAAATTATAATGAATCAATGTTTTACTTCAGCAAGTACTCAGAAATCTTACAAAAACCTGTACATTTTGTTGATTTTCTGAAAAGGTGATTATTATTTAATTCAAATAAATTATGTATACAAATGAGATGAAGGTTTTGTTGTGAACAGTTTGTATGATAATTACTGGACAGATATGTGAGCCAGACAACATCCCAATAGTACACAATACCCACAGTATTCCTGGAGACAACCTCCAATAGTACACAATACCCACAGGATTCCTGGAGACAACCTTCAATAGTACACTATACCCGCAGTATTCCTGGAGACAACCTCCATTAGTACACAATACCCACAGTATTCCTGGATACAACATCCCAATAGTACATAATACCCACAGGATTCCTGGAGACAACCTTCAATAGTACACTATACCCGCAGTATTCCTGGAGACAACCTCCAATAGTACCCAATACCCTCAGTATTCCTGGAGACAACCTTCAATAGTACATAATACCCACAGTATTCCTGGAGACAACCTCCAATAGTACCCAATACCCTCAGTATTCCTGGAGACAACCTTCAATAGTACACTATACCCGCAGTATTCCTGGAGACAACCTCCAATAGTACACAATACCCGCAGTATTCCTGGGGACAACCTTCAATAGTACACAATACCCGCAGTATGCCTGGAGACAACCTTCAATAGTACACAATACTCACAGTATTCCTGGAGACAACATCCCAATAGTACATAATTCCCACAGTATTCCTGGAGACAACCTCCAATAGTACCCAATACCCTCAGTATTCCTGGAGACAACCTCCAATAGTACCCAATACCCTCAGTATTCCTGGAGACAACCTCCAATAGTACAAAATACCCGCAGTATTCCTGGAGACAACCTTCAATAGTACACAATACCCACAGTATTCCTGGAGACAACATCCCAATAGTACATAATACCCACAGTATTCCTGGAGACAACCTCCAATAGTACACAATACCCGCAGTATTCCTGGAGACAACCTTCAATAGTACACAATACCCGCAGTATTCCTGGGATTTGTAGAAAGAAAAATAAACTACATTTGAAAGACTTTCAATACAAAATTTAATTACTTAAAATATTTATTTACAAATACCGGGTAGGATGATTTAAAAAGCTATATTATAAATGTAATATAACATGTCCTGGACATCACATCTCTTGGTTGTTGGTGGATGGTGTTACCCTGGCGGCCATGCCATCTGTCGACCTCCCATCACGTGGATGTGGAGATGGAACACGGACTGCGCTCCATCCTTCCCGTCATTGATAACTGCAATACAATGTACAAGTCAATATACTGACAAATCTACACGTGGTACTTACAGATGTATAATGTAGATAGATGAGTCAGTTTGTTGAATGTTAATACACAAAACATTAATATTGGCTCGGTATGGCGACTATATCAACCTACCAAAGTCAGCTGAGTGTAATGAGACTAACTCTGGTGAACATCAACATTATTACAATTGTTACATCATAATCATGTTGAGACAGCTGTCCAATACTGACTGATATTGAACATCTATCTTAAATATGATGAACAAGTATAAATTTTAACATCAATTTATTGTCAAAATCACTGAAAGATATAAAAGGAATTAAAAAAAATACTAAACAGGATTGCAGACAAATATTCCAAATGTGCTTGACTCAATATGTTTGCAATTCTTTTCAGACTTGGCTGAACAGCATACAGTTTAATGCTGAACTATCATACAGATCCATACACCTACACATCATAACAAACACGTCGGTACAGTATACAGGTTAATGCTGAACTATCA